GGCAAACGCGTTTAGATTCTTCTCAAATAAATGTGTTCTTTTTGGATGCTGTTACTATTATTTATTTACACGTGATAAGGAAAGCATGCCTCTATACTTTGACTATGGTTTTTATTATCTTATGGTGAGGATGAAAACAATCTTCTATAGAACACTTATGTCGGGACGTCTAATACCAACATGAGCTTTGGTTTATGTATTTTGAGGGTGAGGGTGAGGGTGATGGCTGGATACACCTAATCCACTCACAGTTCGTAGCTTTCTTGGATACACCGACTCAGTTGCATATGGTAACGTAGTGAATTGTCTGCTTTTGGATGAATACCGGGTGTAACGGATTTATGAAATCACTCCGAAGTTCTTCACAATCCGTGCAAGTTTTTACGAAAGAGAAAACTTTCGTTTGACGCATTTCATCTGCGCATGCGTGAGCGAGAGACTTTTCATTCCACAGAAATGGAAAATGCTCTTCTTATGATTCCGACGGCACTTATACCTTTCACTCCTCATTAGAGGAATAGCTGAGTGGGTTGGTGCCCTTTAGTATTTACACACAGAGCATACGACATTGTTTTCTTCTCTTTCAAAAAAAAGTCATGACTTACAATGCATTAAAAAAGGACTTTTTTGACTGCTAACGGGCAAACGTTCTCATAACCAAGCGAAACGTAACTGTTTAGTCTGCAGTTAACGCCGCATCCACATATCAGCTGGCTGTTATGATGCTGGATATGCGCCTAACATAGTTTATACAGGATATACAATTGTCATTACTACAAATATTACGTGGGCAACCGGTCAATTCTACTATATTACAATGGACAGTGGATTTGCCAGTGGAAGTGTTTTCTGTCGTAAGTTGTGCTCTCGTCTTATTGCTTTCTTTGTGTAATTAATATGACCCTAAAGATGCGGAATCGGCACCGATCACTGATCCATCATTTTGGCGATTCAATATCTGGGATCCAGCAGTTTCTAGTACAACTACTACCCAGGTTATTATGGCACGGCCGGTTCCGGCCGGTTAGGTTCGTTTTCCGACCATTTCCTTGCCGCCGGATTCCGGCTGGAAGTTCAAACGTAGGTTCCACTCATTTCCCGGCCGTTTCCTGCAAACTTCGAGCCGGAAACGGTCAGGAACTGATCGGATATTTCCTGTCCAATTCCGGCCGGAATCCGGCGGCAAGGAATCTGCCGGAACTTGCTGGAATCGGCGAAAACTGTGCCGGAACCGACTCAGATTTCAACGGATCCAGTCGCCGGAATGATCGACCTGGGAGTATTATCTGCTGATAAACGAAATCATCCGAAACTGAATTAGTTGATAGACATACAACAAACTATACTCTTTTATGAGTCGTGCATACAACAATAATTCTTTAATCTAAAGCATTTTGAGGGTAAAGTGTAAGGATAATTTTCATTCATTCGCATATTCTTTATCTACTACCGCATTTCCAAACAAAAGCATTACAACGTACTAAAGGTCGGTTGTTTGTGCCAAAAAAGAATTCCTGAGTTCTTCGCAGTCAAAAAAGTTGACTTCGCAGGATCCTAGTTGAAGAAATTGGCCTCCGTTGTTATCTGAAACAACTTCTTGATATGTGTGATTCCATAGAAAAATTTTTCATCATTCATGAAAATTGTTCAAGAAGGAATACCACCTCTTCTCCTAAATTGTTCCTGACTATGTCACTAGTTTGTAAGCA